GAAGGAAGAAACAAAGGAAGGAAGAATTAGTTTACCTTTTCACTAGATAAATATAGTGCTGGTAATTTGATAGCCTTGAGGATCAGACTCTTTCGTAGTAGAACTCATGGCAATCTGCAATACACTTGCTGTTGATAGGAAAACTGATTCTTGGTTTAGGCTTATAATTTAGCTAAATGTGATAAAATTTGCTATACAGGCTTGATTTTGAAAGTATTTTGCATCAACAAGTATCCATTGAACTAATTTGGTGCAGTATTTTGTGAGCAATTTGAATTTTCTCTCCTTTCTTTTTTTTCTTTTTCTTTTTTTTTTTTTTTTGAGACAGCGTCCCACTATGTAGCTGAGACTGACCTGGAACTCACTATGTAGCCCAGGCTGGTCTCAAACTCACAGCAATCCTCCTGCCTCAGCCTCCCGAGTACTGGGATTACAGGCATGTGCCACCACACCTGGCTTCTCTCCTTTCATTTACAGGGTTCAGTCCTTACTTTCTAGACTGTTAGTATCAGCAAATTTAAATTCAGGTTGTTACAAACTTTGCAAATTGTATATCTCAAAAGGTAGTACAAATTTTAGTTTGTATTTCTGGACCGGACCAGACAGTTTTTATTATCATAGTTCTACTCACCAAAGTGGTCACTTTCCTGTGTGTGTGTGTGTGTGTGTGTGTGTGTGTGTGTGTGTGTGTGTGTATTTTTTTTTAGTACCAGGGATTGAACTCAGGTCCTTGCGCTTGCAAGGCAGATGGTGGAACCACTGAGCTAAATCCCCAGCCCAAGTCCTGATGATATTAATATTTATTTACAAGATTGAGGGTGGAAAGAAAGGGTTGCTTTTTCAGATCCTCATCTGTTTTGAATGATCTTTTCTCATCTGTGCTTCCCTTTGGCTCCCCATTGTCTTCTTAGTCCAGAAAAGTCCATGTTTTTCTTAGTGTGATGTTTCAAAGTTCCTCATTACTTTTCTGGCTTCATTTTGCTTTTGTTTGTGGGTTTTGTTTTTTTTTTGAGACAGGGTCTCACTATGTAGTTGAGACTTGAGACTGACCTGGAACTCACTATGTAGTCCAGGCCTGTCTCAACTCACAGCATCCTCCTGCCTCAGCCTCCCTAGTCCTGGGATTACAGGTGTGCGCCACCATGCCCAACCTCATTTTGCTTCTTTATCCTATCCTCCCACAAATGTAGGTATTCACTTTTCCCTTAATATGTGCTGATCTCTTTCCTATACTCTCTTGTTTTTAATGTTCTTATCTGCTGGAAAGTCTCCTTATCTTTCTTCTCTAGTGTCCAACTTCAGCTCATCCTTCCAAGCCCCAGGCAAGCTCTCTACTTTTTGAGGTCATCCATTCTATCATTTTTAACCTCAGACACTCCCCTGTTAGAAAGTTTTGTTTTTGTTGTTCAGTGTTGAGTAAATATTCTTCTGTGGCATACTCTTTGGTTTTGATTTTAAATCTGTGATAAATTAGTTAAGAACTTTTATACAATTGTCTGTCTTCTGGTCTTTCATCTCCTCCCCTTCTCTCCTTTTAAAAATTAAGTTTAATGGTACAATTTAGATACATATAATGATCACATTCATCGTATGGAATCTTTACTTGTACATGATATATCTTAATTCTTTTTTTCCCACTTCCCTCCTATCTCTATTTTTAAAATTTTATTTTCCATTGACATATAAAAATTACACATACTGGGCCGGGGATTTAGCTCAGTGGCGGCATGCCTGTATTGTAAGCACAAGGTTCTGAGTTCAATCTCTGGTAGCGGAAAAAACTAAATAAATTACACATATTTATGGGATTTAATGTGATACTTGAGAAGTCTACATGTGTAATGATCAAATTAGTAATTAGTATATCTCACTTTTGGCACAAGAACATTCAAACTCCTCTCTTCTAGCTGTTTTGAAATATATATGTTATTGTTAATGCTTGTCACCCTGCTGTGTAGAACACAAGAATTTATTCTTCCTGTCTAACTGTAATCTGTTGTCTCTTAAAATATAATGTCCAAAACTATGGTCAGTAGGTTCTATTCTAAGTAGATTCTGATCTGTGTTGAGTAGAACAGAAGTCTCACTTTGTATGAGGAGGATATATTTCCATTGCTGTATCTAAATCATGTTACTTTTTTTGAGCACCATCACTATTTTTTTTTTTTTTTTGGTATCAGGGATCGAACTCAGGCCCTTGCACTTGCAAGGCAGGCAGCGGAAACACTGAGCCAAATCCCTGGCCCTCCACCACTATTCTCTTGACTCCCATTGAACATGTACTGTTTAAACCTTTTCTTGAAGTAATTCTTTTTCATACATAGGTCGGTATCACTGGACTTAGCTGTCCTGTACCTCTACAGATGTTCTTTTAGACCCAAGTGTAAGACCTTAAGTTTATCCGGGTTCAGAGTCCTGTTGTTGGATTCAGCCCATTAAAACTTCCTTGTTGAAATATTGTTGGCATGTTTGGGTAATTTAGCATATTGCTCCCCTGCCTGTCTTCTTGTTATCTGCCAATTGATAAGTATGTTTTCTTTCCTCCATCTTAGTCCTTACAGAGTGTGTGTGTCTGTGTGTGTGTATGTGTGTGTTCTGGTACTGGGAATCAAACTCAGGTCCTTGCGCTTGTGAGGCAGGTGGCAGCACCACTGAGCTAAATCCCCAGCTTCCTAGTATATTTTTAATGGGCAGGATCAATTGTGTATGGAGATAGATTGTCTGTTTAACCGAATATTCCATAATTATAGCAAAAATTCTCTTTTAGATGATTAGATAAAAGACAATAGAAATCATATGGTTATAATGAAATTAGGAATTTGAAAAGTTGGTGAATTTGCTTATGTTCTTATATGTAATTAAATATATTAATAAATCATAATATGGTTATATTTTATATGAGATTCTAATCAAAGAACCCTCTAGACTGATTAGAGACAATATGCTACAGAGTAAAAGGTCCCACACTTGGCCTCTTATTTACTCAGTTATTTGTTCCAAATATCTGCTCAGTACTACTGTACTTAAGCTGTAGACATACAATGTTGAAAAACCCAGACTTGGTCTTTGTCTTCTATGGAAGACATCTAGTTGGAGAAGTAATTTGGTAATTATAATACTTTCTGTGAGATACTTTTCTGGATAAGTGTACCCAAAAGAAATATAGTACAAGCAACACATGTAATTTAAAATTTTCAGCGAGGCTTTGGTGGTGCATGCCTGTAATACCAGCCCTTGGGAATCTGAGGCCAGCTTGGACTACATAGTGAGTTCACAATCAGTCTAAACTACATATCAAGATCCTGTCTCAAAAAAATAAAAATTTCTAATAGCTCCATTTAGCTCTCTAATAGCTCAAAAGTAAAAAAGAAATGAAATTAATTTCATAATTTTATTTAACTCATTAGATCTGAAATACTAGTTCAACATTTTGCAGTATAAAAATGAGATTTTTTTTTTTTTTTCTTGAAGTATAGTGGACCCTTGACTTATGAACTCGGTCAGTTCCTGAGGGCTGGTTGTAACTCAAGTTAATTGTGAGTCAGTACAACTGAGATCTGGATGTTTACCTGGGTACATGCTATAGATAACAAAAAGCAGATGAATCTTCCATTAACCTAATTAACCCAAGTTGTTTATATGTCAAGCTGGTCACAACTTGAGGGTCCACTGTAAATCTTTGGACTAGCTCAGTAGTGCTCAATAATCACAGGTAATAGTGGTTACTATTTGGACAGCATAGTCTACACTCCGCTTTACAGACTACTTTGTGGTGTTGAGCAAATTATTTTCCTTCTTTAAAACTTTTATTTTTGCTGGCATGGTGGCTCACACATGTAATTCCAGCACTTGGGAGGCTGAGGAAGAAGGATCATGAGTTTGAGGCCAGCCTGGGCAACATGTTGAGTTCAAGGTTGACCTGGACTACATAGGGAGACCGTGTCTCAAAACAATAAAAAAGAAAGGAAGGGTTGATTCTAACTTGCTTTTCTTCTAACAGCTAAATGTGGTTCCTTCCACATATGGCAGGGAGTGGAGCCTTGTGAGGTGCTCTGAATTCTGTCTTGCTAGGTGTAGTAGTGCATGCCTGTAATTCTAGCACTTTGGAAAACTGAAGCAGAAAGGATCAAAAGTTCAAGTCCCGCCTGTGTAATTTAACAAGATTGTTCCAACAATGTCTGTTACAGTGCAGACATAATGTACAGTATGTACATTACTACAAAGGCTCTGGGCTCAAATATTCCAAAACAAAAACAAACAAACAAAAAACAACCCAAACCCTGTCTTTATCTGGGTTGCTTATATGTAACAGTTCATGTAACTATATATTTAAGATTGATGAGCTTTATAGTGTATGTTCTACTTCAGTAAAAGTTTTTTTCTTTTAAATAAATAAGGTCACTTCCAGTTTTTCAATTCAGTGCTCTTTGCTGAAATCATTCCTTCATGAAAATACATGGTGTATTTAGCCATAAAGATTGAAAATTAGGGCCGGGATATAGCTCAGTGGTTCCGCTGCCTGCCTCGCAAGCGCAAGGACCCGAGTTTGATCCTTGGTACAAAAAAAAAAAATTTTTTAGAAATTACATTCATTCATAGGAAAATGGATACATATTGAGGATATACTCCTAAGTGAAATAAATAAGTCATACATGTGTAAATATGGAATAGTTTAAATAGGAAGAAAAGGGCTAAAGGTGTAGGGAAGGTGGGAAGGGTAGGGGGAAAGGTAATAAGGGAAAAAAATAGGAGAAAATGAAAAAATGGAAATAAAGTGTTTGTAAATGGGGAGGGGAGGAGGGGGTGAAGGGAGGGCAGGGACAAGGGGAAAAAATGAGAACCAAGACCTGTAAAGGTACAAGATCCCAATAATGAATGTAACTGTACTGTATACCTAAAATGTACCAATAAACTCAATGAGGAAAAAAAAAAAAGAAAGAAACTACATGGTGTGAAAAGTACAAATAGCCAGTAACTCTTTGTCTTTTCTTCCCACCCAGGATGTGTCTAGTCCGAATGAAGCAGGAAGGCCGGAGTGGGAAATATATGTGTCGTATCATAGTTCATTTTATGTGGGAGGATGTTCAGCAGCGTGGCCGAGTCATGGGGGTAAGTGCTTGCTATCAGATTTTATTTTTTTTGAGACAGGGTCTCTCTCTGCAGTTTAGGTTGACCTTGAACTCACTATGTGGCCCAGGCTGGCCTCCAGCTCATGATATGATGATCCTCTTGCCCTCCTGCCTCAGCCTCCTGAGTGCTGGGATTATAGGTGTGTACCACCACATCCAGCTTGCTGTCAGAATCTTGACCTGGACAACTGATGAAGAACTGCTCAAGTTTGGGGTTTTTCTGTTTTACAGTAGCCTTGTCTTTGAATTTCCGTGAAATGCTGCCTCATGTCAAGGGGCAGTTCAACTATAGTCACTTTTTCCACCTCTGTGGAGAGTGACATGCCATGGGTACTTTATGTGTTTTTACACATTATTATGGTTTGTCAATGTGGGGATATACTGTGCAGAGATGGTAGTTGGGGGGTGGAATTGGTGAATGGAGGGAATCAAATAGTAATCCAGTTTAAGGACAGTTTTCTTCTGACTCTAATTTAGTATTTGAGTCTTCCTTTAAGTTCTGATGGAAATATCCTGGTATTGGGCCTATACCGTCCTCGGACTCCTTGATCACTAGAAAACTTTGGCAAAATACCCACTGAAAATGTACGTTACCAGCCTGAGAAAAGGAGAATACTCATATGTCACATGGAATATGATGACAATAGAACAATGAAACCAAAACACTGGAAGTAGGGTATATAAACAGTAATCTCTTTTGAATGTATTTTGAGTGTCTAGCCCATGTTTTAGGAGATTGTAGTTCTTTATTTGCCATTTTGTTGCCTCCCATCTTGCAAGCATCCAAAGTAGAACCATCTGGATCACAAAGTGGGTTAATTTTTTTTCATTACAAAGTTCTTGTGTAGACAGAGAAGTAAACAGAGTTTATGGACATATTATAAAAGTCATATCAGAGAATAAAAACCAAACATTGAAAAGCATTTAATGCAAAAAAAAAAAGTGTCATTCTGAGTCTTAACTCCTAAAAATAATCATTATTGTGACTGATCTATATCTTTCTAGTGTTTTCTATACAAATATATAAATGTGTATTCTTAAAAACATAAATGGACTTATGCCATTCACACTATTCTGAATCTTGCCTTCTTTCACTTAATATATATCAGTCATGTTTTAACATAAAAATTTTTTTTGAGTTTGATTCCTGAGTTGATGCTTGTAAATCGCTTATGGCGAGTAGCTTTATTGCCAGTATTCAGAACCCTTAGGAAATGACTACTTCTCAGAAGCGGCTTCCAAGTATAGCTAGCTTTTGGGTTTTGAGCCTGTTGCAGGATCCTAGCCCTTCAGTTTATTGGGGATGAAAAGTATTGTATGCCTGCTTGGCCCAGCTGCCAGTTCTTTGTCACTGGCTTGTAGGGTTTTTGTTTTTGTTTTGGTACCAGGGATGGAACTCAGGACCTTGTGTTTGCATGGCAGGCACAGTGCCACTGAGCTAAATCCCCAGCCCTATAGGTTTTTTTTTAAAAGACCCCTGGGCAATCTCAGTCTTGGTATACCAGGAGGAACAGCACGGTTGTATCACCTTGGCTAAATAGTACAATCAACAATAATAGTGGCATTGAATATAGCCTAGAAAATGACACTGTAGTCCTTAATACGGCTTTTTTACCCTTAGGGGAGAAGATTTAAAAGTGGTTGGGGGTAAAAAGCAAATGGAAGAAGGGGAAGAGGTCAGAAGCAAGGCTGGAGAACAAACTTTAGGATAAACTGGTGAAGAAGACAGATGGGATAGAGTAAAGGAAAAAAACAAGAACAGAACAACAACAAAAAACTAGAAATTGTGTTCAAACAATCAAGAAGAAACTAAACAAGGGCTGGGGATTTAGCTCAGTGGTTCTGCCACCTGCTTCACAAGCACAGGGACCTGAGTTCAATTCCTGGTACCAAAAAAAAAAAAAAAAAAAAAATAAAACAAAACAAGAACTAGAAAGGAGGAAAAACAAAAACAAAACAAAAAATCCGAAAATATCCAATTCAAGATCTCTGCTGTCACTGTTAGGCAACGTGGGCAGAGTCCAGAGCCAATTTGATCAATCCCAGCAGCCAGCCGCAGTTTCACGGTGAGGCAGTGGATAAACCCAGCCAGCCTGCCCCTTTAGTTCCTCTGAAGTTCAGGCTGGTTTCTGGCTATGAGACTGTGGAACCAGAGTCTTTGAGCCTACAACAGTCCATGAATCTCCTACCGGCTTGAACCCCACTCCCTGACCTCCTGCTGACTGGTACTCAGCACCTGCACTGAGGCACTGGGAGCTACTAGGTGGAGTCTGCAGCTGTTCTGAGTTCCAAGCTCAGTCGCCCCCTCTCCAAGATGGCTACCAGCCAGTCACCCTCTCCTGGGTGAGGTCTGAATCCAGATAACTCACCAGCCATGGCAGTCTGCTTTGTCCACTGCACTGGTCCACTGGTGCGTTTCGCTGTGGAGGCCTCTGGGGTCGTCACTGTACATCTGCAGTTTTGGCCTGCTGTTCCCTCATGGAGAGTCCGGGCTCTGGAAGAGAGCGCTGCTTGGTAGCTCCTTCTTCATTACAGTCTCTCTCTTGAGACTTCAGTTCTTGCCTCAGATTCTTCCTGGACCCTGGGGACCTACTTCCTTCTTCCTTCTCCTCCTTGTGCTACTATATATTCCAGCTTAGGGCACCAAATCTCTGAGAAGCTTTTTCCTTGCTGCTCACCACTCTGCTATCTTCCTTTTAACATTAAAAATATTTTTTAAAAAATATTTTAACTCAGGTTGAAATCTCTAACCAACCTCAATTCTGGGCATTTTCTCCTTCTGGAAAATAATTACGGTTTCCATTTTGGTGTATATCTTCTACAACTTTGCTAGGCTATGTGTAGAAAATAGATAGTATTGGGTTTTGTGTGTATTTTATTACACACAGTGTCATTCTTTATCTACTCTCATGAAGCTTCCTTATTGAGCAATGTCTTGGAGGTCTTGCCACACAGGAATTCTTCAATCATGTTTTACTTTTATTATAATTATTTTTACACCTGTGTATTGGCTATTGGGATCAGTCACTGTCTATGCAAAGTTGAAGTCTTTGAGAGTATTTCACGAAGGTGATGGTTGCCTTTCGGGAACCTGGGTTCAGGTTTTTCAGATTCTCTTGTCTTTGAAGGAACTGCATGTATAGGAAGCAGTGGACCTGGGCTTGGCTGTAAGTATCTTTATTGACATTCACGTGCCATTCTTTGGGACAACAGACTATTGGCATTTCTATTCATCCTAGGAAAATGATAACACATATAAAGTTTTATCTGCTGTCATCATCACCACCACCACCACCATCATCATTATCCATTTTGGAATCAGTATTGAACTCTTTAATTTCCTCTTTGGTTCATTTTTAACTTTCTTACTGTCCTGCCTGCCATCTGTCTTAGCTACCCAGAGTGGGATCAGCGCCCTTAAGTTGTTCATACAGGTGGGTGCTCCACATACCCTCAGTACTCACAACCCAGTTCTGTGGCAGCACACAGTGGACACAGGGTGCTGTTGGCATTCTCAAATCATCCCATTTTATGATGACCAGTGATAACCTTTGGCCAGCCAAAGATTTGGCTAACTGCCAGGCAGTTAATGCAGAGGTCTTCTATTAGTGAGCCTGTTTTTCTTATCACTGTTTACTAAACTCTGCTGGAAGGTGGGCCACTAGAGAATGTGGGCCACAGCTGTCTCATCCTGAATAACTTAATGAGCCGTAAATTGCTGACTCCTAGACCACAGGAATCTTTTAATTATCCCTCTGCCCTACTTCATGAATTTCCTTCTAGACCTCATACACCTCTGCATCCCAACATTAAACACTTTGACTCTCTCCTGTGTTGCTTTGTATGTATGTACTTAACAGGAACCTTTATATAGGGAGGAAATTGTTTTATAGTGTTTAGTTTTTTACTTACATTGTAAACATTGAATAAATAAGTGCTTGTCAAGTGGGTAAATTGAACTTCAGCCTCTGAAATTCTTTTTAAAAGCTAGCTTATTGCTGGGCGTGGTGGCACACTTCTGTAATTCCATCACTCGTGAGGCTGAGGCAGGAGGATTGCTGTGAGTTCTAGGTCAGTCTCAACTACATAGTGAAATCCTGTCTTAGAACAAACAAACAAACAGAAAACCAGACCAAAAAAAGCTAACTTATTTATCAGTTAAATCATACCTGATTAGTCTGTGGTCCAAATGTATGTCAGTGCAGCACTGTAGGAATTACTCTTTCTCCCTCTCCCCATTTTATCCAGCCATTTTTTTTTTCTATCTGGATTATTTTAGATAGGGTGCTGCACTATAGGGAAGTATTTTATTTATTTTTCCCCCATTAAGTTTATTGGTACATTTAAAGCAAACAGTATAGTTATATTTATCATTGGGATATCATTGGGATCTTTTACCTTTACATGATATGTGTTGGTTCTTATTTTTTCCCCCACACCCCTGCCCTCCCTTCACCGCCTTTGCTCTTCTCTATTTACAAAGACTTTGTTTCCATTTTTTTCCTTTTCCCTTATTTCTTTTCCCTACCCCTTCCGATTTTCCCTTTAGCCATTTTCTTCCTATTTCACACTATCAGTTACACCATTTGGTTTTTTTTGTTTGTTTGTTTGGTTTGGTACCGGAATCGAATTTGGGATCTTAATGCTTGCAAGGCAGGCACTGGAACTGCTGGGCTAAATGCCCGGCCCTCAGTTAACACCATTTGAACCTTATTTACACTTCTAGCTTTTCACACCAGAGAAACTTCAGTATTTAATCAAGTGTGTCCTATTTATTTCACTTAAGAGTATGGCCTCAATGTGCATCCATTTAGCTATAAATCTCTCTAGTTTCTCATTCTTTGTGGCTGAGTAGTAAGTACCCCATTTTATAGAAAAACCACATCTTCTTTATCTAGTCTCCAGTTGATGGGCATTTGAGTTGTTCCCAAGTTTTAGCTATTATAAACTGTGCCGCTATAAACATGGGTGTGCATATAT